ACATGAAGATGTACTTGATTGCTAGGCAGGTTTCGACTATTTTTATTATGTTTCTTTCTGTAAATTCTACTTTTTTACAATGACTACGGTTGCTATAACCAGAAAAGGGAAACACACACCTATCTTTTATTTTTAAACTCTAATAAATTTTGTAGTAATCTTACTGAATAGATCTGTGTTTTCTCATATACCAGATTGCAGGCTCTATCCCAGCTACATGAGGGGTTTCTCTCTCTTGTCTCTCCCCCTCCCTTCCACTCTCTCTAAAAAAAATCAATGGAAAGATATCCTCAGGTGAGGATTAACAACAATAACAAAAATCTGAGTATGTATTTTGGAGAGGAATTTTTTTATGTGGAGGAATTGATTCTAAAGTTGAAAATGTTTCTTGAGCACCTGACTGTTTAGAATAAATTTATTTTCATGTTGAAAATAAGGTTTTTTTGTTGTTCTTTTCTGGTTTCTACTCACCCAATAAATAAGTACATTTCTGAGAAAATTATTTTTGTCATCAAATTTTCAGTTGATTTGCTCAAGACTTGTTTTTGTACTCAAATTATATAATTGGCAGGAAAGCATTTTTTGTTTTTATTAAATAGTTGTGTTGCAACAGAAAGCTGTATCTTTTTCATTTTATAAAGGTGTGTTTTTCCATGGTGTAATTCAAATTGCATCTCTTGGATCTAATTTAGAGTAACTGTACTAGATATTTGAAACTTAAAATACAGTGTGTTCATAATTTATTCCAGTTGAGTTACTGAATTTCTGACTGATAATTTAACATCATAGGGGTTTTTTGTGGTTTTTTTTTTAAATATATATATTTATATTGATTTCAGAGAGGAAGGGAGAGGGAGAAAGAGATAGAAACATCAGTGATGAGAGAATATCATTGATTGGCTGCCTCCTGCACACCCCCTACTGGGGATTGAGCCAGCAACCTAGGCATGTGCCCGATTTCGGGACCCTTCAGTCCTCAGGCCGATGCTCTGTCCACTGAGCAAAAGTGGCTAGGGCTTTCATAGGGTTTTTAAAGCTCCCCACAGTTTGCTTTACCTGGGCCTCATCACTTCTTCTCTGATTATTTCCATTAATCGGTGCATGCATGTATGTGTTTGTACACAGGCACATGGGTTTGGGGCAGGGTGTCACAGGTTGATTGGCAAGTGCTTAATGGAAAGATGGGGTAAGAAAAAACGTGTATGTGGAAATCTTAATTCACTAGTGAACAATTGTGTGAGACCCGGGACACCCCCCCCTCCCCCCCGCATGCCATGGGATCGCCCCAAGTCCCGGAGTCCCGCCCTGTGTGGCCGGCATGCTGCTGGATGGCCCCGAGTCCTGGAGTGCCGCTCTGATGCCCCGCCTCCGGACTGCATGGAGCGGCCCTGGCTCTGCCCCCACTGTGCGCGCTGCCATCTCGTGACGACGTTATGGCGTGAGGGTCAATTTTCATATTACCTCTTTATTATATAGGATAAGACAGATTATGATTTAGTGGGTGGTTATTAAAACTACATAAAGAATTTTTAATTTATGGAATGAAAAGTGCAAGACTCCTATTTCAATGATAACCTTCCATGGTGTATTTAAGGATTAAATGCCTATGGGGAACCTAATGAAATTCAAAAATAAATTTTAGTAACCACTGACAATTTTATATTAATCAGAAATTAATATTAGGCATATCAAAAAATATAATGTGCTGCCTCTGCTTGTTAACTGCATATTCCCCTTTCTCAGGAAAGGAGGGAAGAAGTAGCTATGCAAAAAGCTTTTAGTGGTCATCCTCATCCAATTTTGTAATAATGATAATAAAATTTACATGATATATATATATATATATATATATATATATATATATATATATATATAACTCATTTAATGAATGAAATTGTCAGGTCACATGTTAACTTTGTGCTTCATTTTTTGAGGAACATCCAAACTATTTTCCCAAATGGCCATACCATTTTGCATTCTCTTCAGCAATTTGCCTACATCCTTCCCAACACTTGTTGTTGTCTATCTTTTGAATTATAGCCATGGTAGTGGGTGTGAAATGATACCTCATTGTGGTTTTTATTTGCATCTGTTAAGCATCATCTTTAGAGATATGCCTATTTGAATCTCTTGTCCATTTTTTAAAACATTTTAATTGGGGTAAAATATACGTAACAAACTTTCTATTTTTAAGTGTGCAATTCAGTGACATTAAATACATTCACAATCTTGTGCCAAAGCCACCACCACCACCACCACCACCACCACCACCACCACCCACCTCCAGACCTTTTTCATCTTCCCAAATTGAAACTTGGTACAAACTAAACAGTAACGCTTTACCCTTTCCTTCTCTCAGGCCCTGGCTAATGCCTTTCTGCTCTGTCTCTTTGAATTAGACTATTTTAGTACCTCATATAATGGAAGCATAAAATACTTGTCCATTTTGAGTTTGACTTATTTCACTTAGCCTATATCTCTATTTAAGATTAATCCATGTTGCATCATGTGTAAAAATTTCCTTCTTTTTAAGGCTGAGTAGTATTCCATTGTACATGTATATACCACATTTTGTTTATCCATTCATCTGTTGGTGGACATTTGGGTAGTTTACATCTTTTGGTTATTGTGAATAATACTGCTGTGTCCATTGGGGACATGTATGTGCTCGAGTACCTGCCTTCAGATCTTTTGGATATCTACGTAGGAATGAAATTGCCAGATCGAGGAACTACTATACTGTTTTACACAGAGGCTGCACTATTTTTCATTCCCTTCAACAGTGCACAAGTGTTCCAATTTTTTAACATCCTTGCCAGCCAATACTTGTGGGGTTTTTTCCCCTTTTTTAAATAACAGCCAACCTAATATAGGGGGAATTCTATCTCTGTGGTTTTGATAAATATCCCTAATGATTAGTGGTGTTGAGCATCTTTCGATGTGCTTATTGGCCATCTTTGGAAAAATGTTTATTCATCTTTGGTGTCACAATATCTTTTATATCAATACTGATTGATGTCTCCCAACCCCTGGCAAATGCCTTTCTGCTCTCTGTCTCTTTGAATTAGACTATTCTAGTACCTCATATGAATGTATCAGGAACCTTCAAAGTTCATAGTGACGAATAAACATTTTTTAGACTAATTTTTTGTGTTAATTTTATCATTGGACACAAATATTTGAGTTGTTTATCTTGAAGTGATAAACATTTATTTTTGAGAAAAGGACAATAATCAGTTGTTTGTTCTTGAGATGTCCATAGTATTTTGCTATGCAGAAGTGCTTTGTACTTCTCATTTTGTTACACAGAATATTAAAACGAAAATGATGTGTATTTAAAAGTTGATATTTAGCGCTGACCGGTTTGGCTCAGTGGATAGAGCGTCGGCCTGCGGACTGAGGGGTCCCGGGTTTGATTCTGGTCAAGGGCATGTACCTTGGTTGCAGGCACATCCCCAGCAGGGGGTGTGTAGGAGGCAGCTGACTGATGTTTCTCTCTCATCGATGTTTCTAACTCTCTATCCCTCTCCCTTCCTCTCTGTAAAAAAATCAATAAAATATATTTTTAAAAAGTTAATACTTAACAAAATTAGTAATTTTTTGTTTATTAAACTTTCAGTGAAACAGGTTTACTGTGAAATTATTGTAGTGAAGATGATGATGACTACTAATAGTACAGTTTGGTACTGCTGCCTTGATTTGTGGTGAAGTGTCATCATTTTTACCCACTGCTATTTTTGCATCAATAGCCCCCAAATCAACACAGAGACATTTTGTTACGTTAACAAATGGGGGTGAGGTGGGATTCTTTACTAGATTATATGAGCACTAGAGGCCCGGTGCATGAAATGTGTGCATGGGGTTTGGGGGTGTGCCTCAGCCCAACCTGCACTCTCTCCAATATGGGACCCCTTGGGGGATGTCTGATTGCTGGTTTAGGCCCGATTCCTAATCTGGCGGTCAGACATCCCTCTCACAATCCGGGACTGCTGGCTCCTAACCGCTCACCTGCCTGCCTGCCTGATTGCCCCTAACTGCTTCTGCCTGCCAGCGTAATCACCCCCTAACCGCTCCCCTGCTGGCCTGATCGCCCCCAACTGCCCTCCCCTGCCGGCCTGGTTGCTCTTAACTGCCCTCCCCTACAGGCCTGGTCCCCCCCAACTGCCGTCCCCTGCCGGCCCAAACGCCCAACTGCCCTTCCCTGCCGGCCATCTTGTGGCAGCCATCTGTGACAACATGAGGGCGGCCATCTTGTGGTGACATCGCGCGAGGGCATAATGCCATCTAGGATTTTTTTTTTTTTAATATATTTTATTGATTTTTTACAGAGAGGAAGGGAGAGAGATACAGAGTTAGAAACATCGATGAGAGAGAAACATCGACCAGCTGCCTCCTGCACACCCCCTACTGGGGATGTGCCCGCAACCAAGGTACATGCCCTTGACCGGAATCGAACCTGGGACCCTTCAGTCCGCAGGTCGACGCTCTATCCATTGAGCCAAACCGGTTTTGGCCATCTAGGATTTTATTATGTAGGATTATAGCTTAGGGTATGGCTTCATTTTGACTCGTACACTTGACATTATAAATATGGACTTGGGCCAATATCTAATAATGTATTTTAAATGGGACGGTTAAACCTTCCTGGTTAGATTTGCTATGTGGCAGAGAATGTAAACAAAATAGTGTTATATGCTAAGAATAGGGTGTAGCACATAATTGGCTTTCAGCCAGAAGTAGTTCATTTAAAAAAATTTTTTATCAGGGATTAGATTTCATTTGGGTCAAGAGTTGGGAGAAATGGATGGAACCAGGTCGGAGCTTATGATCCAGATTGATCAGGCATGGAGCATACTGCTGAACAAAGACATTTTTACTTCTACTACTTATTAGATCTTCATTTTGGTGGCATTAGTGATGGTAAATTCTGTATTTGTGCTTTGTGTTTAAGAATTGTAAAGCTACATGGTATTAAATTTTTTTAATTTTTTTTCTTGCAGGATTCAGTGGTCCCAATTTAAAGGCTATTTTACTTTCAAACTGGAGAAAGTGATGGATGATTTCAGAACTTCAGCTCCTGAACCAAGAGGTCCACCCAACCCTAATGTCGAATATATTCCCTTTGATGAAATGAAGGAAAGAATACTGAAAATTGTCACTGGATTTAATGGGTATGCACTTAATACTATTTTAAAGGTTTGCTCTTTAGATTTTTCTTTAAGTTTTGATGCATCTGGTTGTCTGACTATCCATTAGATTTAGTTCTGTGATATATAGTTACTGATTTTCAGCTTACAAATATTTAAAATATGTACAGTATTAAGTTTTTTTTTTGGTAAGAGTTTATTTGAGCCAAACTGATGGCACATGCTGGAAAGCAAGATCTCAAATGCAGATGACAGTTTTACAGTTTCTTTCATGCATTTGAAATTAAGGAGGGGAGTAAGGAAGATTAGAGAAGGTGAGAAAAAGCAAGTTGGGGATTGAATTACAGCATAAATCATTTGCTCTCCAGAAGAAGGGGTCTGTAAAGAGACATTTCAAAAGGTGTTATTTCACATGCAGAGAAACAGTGGTCAGGGCTTGTTTAAGGCAAAGATAAGTTGTTGAGTAAAGAAGTTTTATGCCTGGGGCCTGACTACCAGCCATGACCTGCCCAGTGATGAATTGATGATCAGATCACCCTGTTAGGTTATATTCCATAGAACCCCTTTTACATTTACAGTTCCCTTATTTGGTCATGAATCAGTTCAAAAGATTCATTGATGAACCTTTTGGTCCAATAGTGTGGTCTCACTGCACTAGGAGGGCTCATTCTTAAGAAGTCTCAATATGGACATTGTCCTGTTGACAGTTGGGGATGGGATCTGAGTTAAGGCTGAATTTTCTCCCAAAGGGAAGGGCAGGTAGATGGAAGGCAGTCTTAAGGCTGCCTTTGTCTTCACTGACAAAAAAAATACCACTCTGGGTCATTTCTATAACTAGCATGATATGAGTTTTGTCATGTCTCATCCTATCTAATAATAGACAAAGATTGAAATTAACCATACCTCCGCTACGCTTCCCATTGGCTTATCAGCGAGATATGCAAATTAACCGCCAACAAAGATGGCAGCCGACAGCCACACAGCTGAAGCGAGCAGGAGGCTTGCTTGCTTCAGTGATGGAGGAAGCCAAGGTTCCCCGCCTGCCGCGGCCCAGCTCTGAGCTCCACTTTAAGCAACAAAGTTGCAATTATAGAAGCTAAACAAACCCCAGATACCTGCTTTCAGCAGGCCGTGGCCTCAGAGCTGGAGCGGCAACAAAGTTTCAATTATAGCAGGGAAATAAATCCCAGAATAAAAAATAAAAAAAAAAAGGAGAGTCTGGGAGCTTCAGTCGCTGGTGGGCTTGGCCAGCCTGAAAACCCTCAGCCCCTCATCCAGGCTGGCCAGGCACCCCAGTGGGGACCCCCACCCTAAAGGGGGTGCAGGCAGCCTGAAAACAGCCATCAGCCCCTCATCCAGGCTGGCCAGGCACCCCAGCGGGGCCCCCAGCCTGATCCGGGACACCCTTCAGGGCAAACCAGCCGGCTCCCACCCATGCACCAGGCCTCTATCCTATATAGTAAAAGGGTAATATGCAAACTGACCCTAACAGCAAAAAGACTGGGAATGACTGGTCACTGTGACACACACTGACCACCAGAGGACAGACGTTCGATGCAGGAGCTGCCCTCTGGTGGTCAGTGCGCTCCCACATGGGGGAGCTCTGCTCAGCCACAAGCCAGGCTGATGGCTGCCAGTACAGCGGTGGTGGTGGGCGCCTCTCCTGCCTCCTCAGCAGCGCTAAGGATGTCTGACTGCAGCTTAGGCCTGCTCCCCGCTGGCAAGTGGACATCCCCTGAGGGCTCCTGGGCTGCCAGAAGGATGTCTGACTGCCAGCTTGGGCCCAATCACCCAGGGAGCGGGTCTAAACCAGCAGGTGGTCATCCCCCGAGGGGTCCCAGACTGCGAAAGGGCACAGGCCAGGCTGAGGGACCTTCCCCCCCCCCCCCACCCCGAGTGCACAAATTTTTGTGCACCGGGCCTCTAGTCTACACTAATAAAAGAGAAAAATGGTAATTGGCGTACGACCGCTACCCTTCCCATTGGCTAATCAGCGTATCCTTATGCAAATTAACTGTCAGCCAAGATGGCGGCCGGCAGCCAGGCAGCTGGAAACGAACGTGAGGCTTGCTTGCTCCAGTGACTGCAGACTCCAACGTTCCCCGCCTGCGCTGCCGGCCTCTGAGCTGGCAGTTTGAAACATTCTAACAAATATAGCCGGCTGGGATCTCAGAGCTGAAGTTATACATTGTTTCGATTATAGAACTGCAAACAAACCAGCAGCGGAAGCCTCAGAGCTAGAGCCAGAGCTAAAGCTGGCCCAGAAGAAAAAAAAAAAAGAAAAAAAGGAGCGGTTGGGAGCTTCTGTCAGCCTGCAAACAGCCATCAGCCCCTCACCCAGACTGGCTAGGCACCCCAGTGGGGACCCCCACCCTGAAGGGGGTGTGACCAGCCTGCAAACAGCCATCAGCCCCTCACCCAGGCTGGCCAGGTACCCCAGTGGGACCCCCACCCTGAAGGGGGTGTGACCAGTGGCAAAAAGCCATCAGCCCCTCACCCAGGCTGGCCAGGCACCCAAGCGGGACCCCCACCCTGATCTGGGACACTCTTCAGGGAAAACCAGCTGGCCCCTACCCGTGCACCAGGCCTCTATCCTATATAATAAAAGGGTAATATGCAAATTGACCCTAACAGCAGAACGACTGGGAATGACTGGTCACTATGACACACACTGACCACCAGGGGCAGATGCTCAATGCAGGACCTATCCCCTGGTGGTCAGTGCACTCCCACAGGGGGAGCTCTGCTCAGCCACAAGCCAGACTGATGGCTGCCAGTACAGCGGTGGTAGTAGGAGCCTCTCCCACCTCCTCAGCAGCGCTAAGGATGTCTGACAGCAGCTTAGGCCTGCTCCCCGCTGGCAAGTGGACATCCCCCGAGGGCTGCTGGGCTGCCAGAGGGATGTCTGACTGCCAGCTTGGGCCCGATCCCCTAGGGAGTGGGCCTAAGCCAGCAAGTGGACATCCTCCGAGGGGTCCCAGACTGCAAGAGGGCATAGGCTGTGCTGAGGGACCCCCCTGAGTGCACAAATTTTTGTGCACCGGGCCTCTAGTATAGTATAAAGGAATATAATGTTGCATATTATACACAAGAAA